TGCATTTAATAGAATTTCATTTTAAAATATACTCTATGGCTCTTTCTGAAATATATTTCCAAATATTTGCTTTATTGGCTCTCTGAGTTAAAAAGGTTGCCGACCCCTGACGTAGGCTGTTAGTGTGGTAAGTTGCAACATCAGTATATACTACTGAAGTCCATCCGTTGGCAGCAAGTGCATACTTCGTAGTGGTTGATGGGTTCAACACTAATATACACTCAAAATTTCGGTTTACGCCCATAGAAATTTAATATACTGATGGTTACCGCGAACACGAATTAATTTCTTAGGAAATTAAGAAGCTGAGTTTACGGACTGCTTAAGACTAAGGCTTTTTTGGTGTGCAGATCATGGTTTTGAAGCAGCAGTTATTTACCGTGACAACTGGATACATATTGTAAGAGTGTATCCACGCTGAATTCTCGATGGTTTTCTTGTCAATCATGTGGCCCGGTGAAAATGGATGAAAGGTCTCCTTTCCGTGACTGTCTAAACTGGCGACAAATTTCACGCCAACTTGCTCAGCACAGGCACCTGACATGGAAATAACAAAAACACGTAAATTTAAGGTGAGACACCAAATATAAATTACAAACGCATTTAAGAAACATGTACATATATTGGCTCCAAAACGTAGGCTGCGCTTAAAATGCTACGTCAGGCTTAAATCGGATCGTGCCAAGGTATTAGTACCACGGCGCAGACGTATGGCCGGCACACCTTCTAGGCAGACCGTCACGTAGCGTCAGCCACTCCGCCTGGTGATGGGTAGCCAGCAACGTTCAATTGTTGTGTGGAAGAGTGAAACAAATAGATGAAACCGATACTATGGAGTCTACCTTCACAGAAAATAATCTCATTCCCTACTAAAATAAAGCTGGTGAATTTAAAATTGTTCCGAAACACTAAAATTCGCCGCACGGACGCTTTCCAACTGGGCCTATCTGAGAGGCGATTGCATCCTTTAAATACTACAACTTCCAGGATAGGAGTCATCTGTGTCTGAAGTTGGTCCTGAGCTGGAATCTGACACGTCAGACAAATAAAAGTCTCGTCTCTACGATCGAATTTACTTATTTTCAAGTACTCCCTGTGACTCACATTTTCGCTTGTAGTAAGTATACTTCTTCGAACTCCACAATGCCAAACGTGGCAGGAATGACGCAAATTCCACTGCTGCAACAGTATAAGATTTTAGATTTGCTGAGTGCATAAACCCGCTTTTTGAGCAGAGGCTAGATTTTCCGCATGGAGCCCAGGTTTCCTTCAGCAAACTTTCATATCTGTCTAACTGAAAATGGAGTCACCATGGTCAACGCGATTGGCAATATACAAAAACGTTCATTTCCGTAGAAACAAAACTAGATTTTATATTGGGCAGTATTTTTCGGAGACTGGGTATTGACAGTCTAGTGACTGCTTTTTCCATAAACAGTGTGGTTGAAGCAACGACGAAGTGTAGCGCGGAAAGTCCACCCTTTTGATTGACTCTCGCCGCAAAACCCCCTTGGGATCTTATGATTCGTCTCCAGTGGGCATAGGAATGAGCATACGGCATTCAGCACTAAGACTGGTTGAGCATTATTTCCACCCCATCTACTATCAGGAGAAGAAGCTTTATGGCATTTATGGTTTGCTACTCATTCTCGTCCGCTCTGCCGTCGTATCCAGAATGTTCATTGCTGTTAGTCAAGTTTTTGAATTTTTGTTTATATTTCGGCCATTTCCGAACTACTCGAGCTTATATTCGATGAAGTTTGATAACTCCTTTTCCGTGAAGAGTCTCGTTTTTCCTCAAAGCTTGCGGGGATACGCTCTAAAAAGGACTTCCAAACAATTTTGCGTTACCTACACATTTAATTTTCCTTGAATTTCGACACACGCTGGTCCTTGTGGTATTTTTTGGGAAAAAGAATTCGCATTGATCAGGTGGAGAAAATCAAATTAGTCTATGCGGGTCTTTTCCATCACTAACTGAGGCCATTTGTGGCTCTTGCCTAAAAATAAAATGTCCTCTTTGACAACAAACATGTTGCAATGGCTTTAACTTCGCCCGTCTAGTCAATTATTCCACAGGGGGCAAAGTATTACCTGCCCGGAGAGGATTTAGCCTTGACACACGAGATTTTGGCCGAATTTTGCGTTCTTATTATACTACTGACTAAGTGCATCTACTTGCATTTTGATATACTGCTGTGTCCCTGGGTCCCACCATTTGAATCCCGGTAGATCACGGAAACCTTGAAATGTGTTGCTTACAACAATTAGGGGCACTGAACTAACCGTGTTAAATCCCATTTCTGCGATCCATGTATCTTTATGAATTAGAAGAAAATCTGTCGGTTCTTAGTTACTTCATTCGTTCATTAGTTTATGCAGCCGCACGAGTTCCCATATAACTTTTGCCTTTTGTACTCCTCACTTCCTCTTAAAAACACCTATCTAATTTTGGTAGCAAGTGTACACTCTCTGGACTCTCCCTCTCTCCCATGCAATGCTAACCAAACTTCTGAAACGCGTTTTAGATTAGGGAGGTGTAATTAAGGGGGACTGTAGCATTTATCATCCCGAGGCATGATCCAATGATATTTCACACAGGCCATATCGTTCGCTTGCAAATAAATTTGCGTTTGGCTGCCGGCAAAAACCACAACAGAAGAAATGTCTACATACTTATTAAGTAGTACTTAATCGAATGGTTTACGTAGGCTTTGAAATTCCTTTTCCTGATACCATATAACATTAAGCATCCGCTACCTATTGATTTGCGTTTAAAGTTTTGCTTTAAAATTTGTATGCTTACCGTGAAGTAAAACATATTCATCATCCTATCCTCATAATCACTGATCAAGTTGACAGCTGATTGCCAGGCTTCGATCACCTCTCACCATTTTGTTTTCTGCTCGGCCAATGACTTTTGCTCTGTCGAACCTTAACTGGTGGTTGTTTTAAAGTCTGTGCATGGCGACATGTGAAAGGACATCTTTTCGCCTTACGGGAGGTGATCGAAGCCTGGCAATCGGATGCTAACAGACCCTGATGGACCTATCAGGAGCGAATAAGAAAAGGGCTTATTTAAACTATATTTCCAATTTTTTCCTATGTCCGATGATTTGCTCAAGAACGAGTGCGAAACGTCAGACGATTAATATAACATCCTTTTCAGAGAACGCCTTACGTTCTTATTCCATCTCAACATCTGGGGTCAGCAGTTTCGTCTACTTCCAGATATATATTTACTTATCTATGTCGTCGAATAGAAACCATTAATGTTTGCAGTTTTCGCACTTGACGTGTGCTATGTCTTATACGACATGAGGACCTTTCGTAAACCGACATACGTTTCACGATGTCTAAACGAGCAGTGATTTTCTACCAATTGAGTACAGTAAAAGATATTTTTCTGTGTTTTTTCCTAACCTGACAGTAGCGTCCGAAGGAAGGTTTATCGAAAGAAAACCTTATCTAGACAGTATACGAACTTTAACAGTTTAGTACCCCTCCAAAAGAATCAAGATCTACTTCACTGCTTAGTGCAAAAGGCTAGAAACGTTTGCTCAGCAGACAGTATTGAGGAGAAGCTCAATAAAATTCGGGACCTACTTCGCGAAAACGGTATCCTGAGAGATTTATTATAAGGAATATGGCTGCGAAACAAATAAAACCCACTACCCTTACTGTGGAAAAGAAAACACTATTCGCCAAAGTACCCTATTGGGGAGACGCGGCAAGTGAACTCCTGTAAAGACGCCTTGACCAGGTCGTGTCAGGAACCTTCCCAGCAGCGAGATTTCGGGTATAATTCTCAATCAACCCGGTCTGAAATGGGGAAGGTAAGGATAGGTTACCAGCTCAGACCATCTTCATCTAAGTTTGGTGTGACTGACAGGCAATTAACAGCATTAGCTCGTCCGCGCACTGTTTGTCTCACATCCTTCCGCCTCCCTAGACTGGCTGCAACAAATCCTTTCCGCTTAACCAGTCTTCTCCTATCGACCGCTTCCCACCATACTCACGACACGCTTGTACGAAAAGACGAACACGTTTTAACTTTTACCCCGTTCCCATATAAATGTACCGGTCCGACGAGAATTTATCGAAAGCATATGTTTATTTTCCATAAAATATATTCGAATTACTAAGAAAATTGGAAATCACTTAAAAGAAATGCTTTTTATGCAGTCGTATTTAACCAGCTTGGCCTTAGCATACTTCCAGAAGATAAGTGCATTTAAAGACCGGTTTTCTGGTGCATCGAGAATATAATGAAATTATGCGGTAGGCGGATGGATGTGACAATACCACTTTAGTAATTTTTCCTAATCCAAAGAATGTAAAAATTTGCTGAACGCCTTATCAGATCATGTGCTGATGCATTTGGGCTATACTTTTGTTGAAAAAGGGCTTATACATTATTGATTGCCAATCGGTCTGTGACTGACTGAAAAAAGCTCCATTCTGAACCATTTAAGGGAAATACAATTTGACCCGATCGTTCTTAAATCATGCTGAATCAATAGACAGATTTCTGATGTAAAATTTAAAAAAGGCTATAAACTGGCGATAGAAAACAAAACAAGCAATCTAACTTCTTCTTACCAAGATTTACATCTTCAGGGCCGCCACGCGGTTGACAGCCTTTGACATTTTGCATCATGCCCTCGGCGATGAGCTTAAGGGCAGCCCGCGAAATGACGTAGCCTGCTCCGCCGGAGGCATACCCTTGTTTGACGAAGGGCTGCAAACGGAGAAGAAGAGATCAGCCTATTAGCGGTCACGTCCAAAAGTTCCAAGCAAAGTGATAGCAGAATATGCAAAATTGCCAAGAAAAAAAGTCAATCAACCATCGTGAGCTGCTCTGTGAGCAAAAAATATCAATGTGCTAAAAACCAATGACAAAGGTGGAGGAAGCTGTCCCAGAACAATTTAAATTGCAAGGGTACATCGAGAGGTAAGTAAATTTACTCATGGCGGGTGAACGGATAGAGAAGACTGTTAGGCGATTGGTAAACTGTGTTTCGGCATTGATATATGGGACAAAGCTGCAGGTTTTGCCCAGTTGGATATTAGACATACACGGTTTCTTTCTCTGTTAAGCCCAAACGGCCTTGGGTCGAACTTAAATGGTGACTGTATTTGGGGAGAACTTCATGCGAACGATGAGCTCAGAGGCTGTTTAGAGCCGCGTACGCGTAAGCCAAAGGAAGAACAATGCTGAAAATATGATTGAGAAGGGCGCATTAAAGCCATTACTTACGCACCGATTGTCGTAAAAACAAAAGCTTGAGCGAGAATACTGAGCTGCTGCTTTGAAATATTAAAATATACTGACTTAGAGTTTGTACAACATGCTGCCATTTGTGAAAGATTGATGCTAGCTCGCTAATTGGAACTGAGTAAGGTTGCAATACGGATTATCATATGGCCCATTTTAAAATCTTTCTTGTACTTTTTGGTAGGAAATTACGCCTTCTTTAAATTCTGTACTTAAAGAAAGGTATCCGTCAGTTTAGAAAAATTTATAATGATGAAATTTTTACAATTGTGAGGTGTTTGTTAATAATAGCACCGTATCTGTCAATTTTATATGCTGCCGATAATGTATTCAGCACGATTTATATCTATTGCAATATTTTATGAAAATTATGTGATGCCTTTTTCAAACCGTAAGCAATACCCTAATTTTCTTAATGAGGATATACACAGCGTGCAGTTTGTAAACATTGGGTTCAGGTGAAGCATTCGGTAGGTTTCAAAATTATTCGGCAATATAAAAACTTTTAAAAAACCGATAGATACTCTTTCTTCAAGTATAAAATTTGAAGAAGACGCAAATTCCTACCAAGTAAATACATGAAAGAATATTTTAGTGCATTTCTTCCTTAAAATATATTTGAATTTATGAAGGCAATCAAAATCAATGATAAAATGCATACACCTCTAGTAATCATTTTTACAACACATACGCTTTGTTCGCGGTCAGAGACAAGCTCATTGAAACACCAGCATACTATCTTGAGGGAAAGGACTTGAGAATAGGCTACACGATAATCACTATTACAACTTAAGTCGGCAACAGTAGCTTATGTAGTCCCCCTCATTAACCCTAACTCCCTTCATGTTTTCCTACGAACACGATGGTTAGAGAATTTTATCGGTGGGGAATAAGGATACGCAGTAGAGTATACTCTAATAACTGCTATATGAATTTTTATTATATTGCATTTAGAAGTGTTGTTAATTTACATCTGTAGATTTTCCTAATCTGTATTATCGTTTAACGTATTGCGGAAAAACCTGATAATCAAATTGCAGGTTTCTTGAAATTCTCGAAAAATAGAAATGGTGGTAAAACGGTCGTCTACTTCTGGAGTTAGATTAGTATAGTCTGCGGCGCGCAACAACTTACTCCGAGCGGCTGCAGGAAGCAACTTCGACTACATTGTTTTCACTTTGCATTTTCTTCTAAAATTTTCCTTCACTGCCTCTCCTATTCCCCATCCCCCAAAACTCTATAACCACCGTTTTTGCAGGACAAAATGCTGGGACTAAGTGTATATGAAGAAGCCACATAAGCTACTTTTGCTCAGATTAGGAAAAGCTACAGTTATAAATTAACAACACTTCTTAATACAATAAAATTGAAATGCATATAGCAGTTATTAAAGTACTTTCCACTACGTGTCCTAATTCCCCACCCATGAAACCCTACAACCACCGTTTTTGTAGGAAATCATGCTGGGAGTAAGACTTAATTAGGGGGATTACATAAGCTACTGTTACCGATTTGTTCATATGCCACCGCCCCAAACAAGGCAGAGATATACGAACGCCCTGACCATGTATAACAGACCACAATGCGCTTAATACCCCGAATGTTAAATATGATTAGTTCATACTCCTAACCCTAATACTAGCTCTAACCTCCCCTAGAATTTGGCGCAAAGCCACCCACATCAAAACTGAATATCTCATGAATTCTGAACTGAAATGGTGAGATATATTTTAAATTTGAACAAATCCTTTATTAGGGTTATAATATTGACCGACATGCCCCATACTCCCAAGATGTTTTATTTAGGTCAAGATGCTGGCTTCCGAATGAACCTCGCTTTCCACCGTTTTCAAAAAGCATACTCAGTAAGAAGTGGCTACTTAAATAGTATGTACATTTCCCGTTGGCTGCCAACGCTCATAGAAATTCAAATATTTTAAGTTGATATAAAATGCACAAAAAATACTCTCTCTCCTACTCATCTGATAGTGAATTTTGCCTTCTTAAAATGCTTTATTTGAAGAAAGGGTTCATTTCGGGTTCAAAAATCTTTCTAAATTGTCGGATAAATTTAGGACCCTGCAGGTAGTTACACTCGAATTAAAGGTTTAAACAACTATATGCAGTATAAATTTTGTCCAAAGACCATCACACATTTTCTATGCTATGATGAAGAAGTTCCATATTACTCATCAAGTATTGCAGTGGATTTGGATCATGTGGTATACTTTATTGGCAACATGAATAAATTGAAGGATAAGATATATGAGGAGTTAAAATTTCGCGGTTTTAAGATATCTCATAATTATAAATCTTGAAAAAAATCGAAAGATCCCCTTTTATTGAGTATTGCATTTCACGCTTAAGAGACAAAGTATTTTCATGCGTATTTTCTACAGATTATATTTCAAATAATAAGGGCATTTAATATCAAAAAGAAATATATTCAATAATTAAGTAGCTATTTTATAGAATACTGTTTTTTGCAGGCTGCACAAAGAGACTGGTTCAAATGGCGGCATCCTGCCGTGACTGAATTATCTTGATATAAGGCTGCGCAATAACCATTTTAACATCACTATTTACATTTTCTGCTCCAATTAAAAACAAATTTTAGAAATGCGCTGGACATTTCATGAGATGCGAGTCTACGGTATGTCACGAAACGGAAGTTATTTCACTGAATGCCTAGGGCCAAGAATTAATTTTTCATTTCCGGTTGTACTTGAAAGTCATGAGTTCTAGTGTCTGAGACAGTGGTTCAGGAAAAAGCGAGTGACAAGCGCGGAAGTTTTATTCGCGAGGGGACTACTTTTTCGTCCGCAACAAGTAGTGTAGATTTTAAGGACCTGATGGTAGAAGGTAGACAGCCGAATGTTTGAGCACGTTTAGTTTTTACTTTGTGACGCAGACACGACGCCGGTCGCTGCTGATAATATTCCACTTTCTTGCATTAAGAATTGTATCACTTGGAATAAATCCGAGTGAAATAAATCATGAAATATGTAGCCCAAGGTCAGCATCGTCACGGTGACAAGCGCGACGTCATGATGATGGTACTGTCGCGATAAACTTTTAACTGCTTTTCCCTTTCTACTCCTTAATACAAACGGCAACTTCACTTACACCTTTCACGAAAAACTATCAAGATTTGAAGTAAAAGCGCCTTTTCGAGCAAGGCAACATTTAGTGTAGTTATCAGAAAACAGACGTGACTTTGGCCATATTGGAGGTTGCCGAATATTCAAGACATTTCCTGTACTATTAACTATAACTGATTGAAATCTTTCGTTTCTTGCGTTTGCTCTAAAGGTAGAGTTTTAGATAAATCTTCCAGGACCGGAAAATCGGATTCTTAGTTAATGAAAATGAGGTTTAAGCGAGTGTAAGAAATCGCACTATTTGTCAGAAGCAAGGAACAAATTCAGTTTCAAAAATTAATGTCTGCCAATGTTTGAAATTTCTTATCACAAAACGCCACAATAAACTTGTCGCCAACCCAAAATTGTTGCTCTCGAACAACAATTGGGCTGAAAAGTTACCAGTTATCTACGGTAATCTGCATCTATCTACTAAGCCATGGCTGAGCTGAATCGGCCAATGACAAGACACCACTAGCTTACCGGCATGAAGTCCGCATAAGCACATCGACCATTCCTATACCGAGGAACGTGCAAATTCTGTTTTGCTCAGAGCTGATACAGCGCGCGAACGAGTTTGCAGTCTGTCTACCCTTCCCTCATTCTCCATGCGCACGTCTGACCAGCACGTACAAATTACCAGTCCTCGATCATTCTACAAATGAACCCTCACCGAAACACAAACAGTCTTGTCCATCTCCCCCCCCTCTATCCAATATTTTGCCGAAAACTTAGAAGTAACACTGCCTTTAGGATCGCTGACGTCGCTCGAAAAAAAAGCGTAATATTTACCCTCGAAAGGGATTGAAATAAGCAGCCTGTCCAAGGTGAGTAATTAGATGTAATCCAAAACGACAAGAAATAGATACGAGGGGCACTACATTTTCAACTATACCACGTAAGATCCTGCACTCGCACAACTAAATCAACTTTCTCAGAAAGACATTTCCACTCTTACCATAACTACTAAGTAAATGGCCCGTTAATATTGTACAAAAATTTATATTGCCGAGTCAATTTTCAGTAAACTAATAGTTTTTTTCATCTACACACTGCCTTCAAAAGTTCGCAAAACTGTTTACCCCAAATGCCTAAAAACTGCTTATAGACCAGGCAACAGCAATGTAAGTATTGCACCTCATATAACCCTAGTCCCAGCATTCTTTCCTATGAAAACGGTGGTTATGGGTAGCGAATCAGGATAAGCGGTAGAGTATAGTTTAATAACTGATACATGCATTTTTATTTTATTGTATTTATAAATTTTGTTCATTTATATCTGTAGATATTCCTAATCTGTATTATCGTTTAACGAACCGCCGAAAACTCCGACTACCGAAATGTAGGTTTCTTGAAATTCCTGAAAAATAGAAATGGTAGTCAGTAGGTCGTCTATTTCAACTTACCTAACGTCCAACTTAGCGTTCTGGAG